CACTCGGCGGCGAACGGCGACGGCAAGCAGCTCGGCGAATGGCGGCGGCTGGCTGGACGGTGGCTGATCTTCCACGGCTGGACAAAATCGAAGGGGGATGGTGTTTCGATGGGGACAGAATAGGGGAGAGAGAGACGGTGAGGCGGGCGGTGGTGGTGAGGCGAGCGGCCACGGCGGCGGCAAGCGGCCCCGGGCGCGGCTGATCCAGCTAGACGGGAGGATGGCGGCGGCTGCTGGCTAGGCCGAATGGCCACGGTCACGGTGGGGAGGGGGTGGTTCGGTCAGGTGAGGGAGAGAGGGAGAGTGAGGCCGAGAGAGGTGAGAGAGTAAGGAGAGAGAGAAAATTTGGATTAAATAGGCTAAGGTTAATTATTGGTGTCTAACCCAAGCCTAAATGACCATCATGCCCCTCTCTCACATTTCCAATCAACGGCCAAGATTCGATCTTATCTTGAGATCAACGGCCGAGATCGAATCTTTTCCAAAATATCCAAGGGTAAAATGGGAATTTCACAAAAATTCCAAGGGCAAAATTGTCCAAAAATCTCTATTTCTAAAGGGAGGGTGAAATGACCAAAATGCCCTTCCCCGTTTACACTTGGCTTTAACAAAGTTCCAAGGCTAAAACGATCATTTTCCATTTCTCGCCGAAATTCGATTTTTCTAAAGGATTCGGACAAATCTAAGGTTAATCATGCTAATAACAACATCGTCCAAATGTTCTGTCGTGACTTTCTAAATTCCAATGCCCAACTTGGCCTCTAATTAATGACTAAATTTTAAATAACGCAACTTGAGCATATCTCAGACTAACGGGTGGCTTTTGGGGAAATTCCCACTTTTGACCCGTGGCCGATATTAAATCAAGCCATGTTCAAGTTCACTCGGGTCATGACGACCTCGGTTGTTACTGAATCGCGAAGATCGATCGCTAGTTCCGATGGGCACGATCGTTTGGTATAGGTTCGGGGTCATTCGTCACTTCATTTCGTGGTCAAGCGCAATCACCCGCGATCCACTCATATGACAATGGCGAACTGATCCCTAACTATCCTTGGATCGGCCTACGTTGGCTCAAAATGTCACCTCGACAATTTTCATGGTCGAAAGTTAGTTCACGATCGAGTTTCTTTGGTCTTGCGAATTTAAATCCCCAATTAGCCTTTCCCTAACGGTTAGTATCCCAGAAATGATCAGTTCCGGGCGAGATCTAACTATAAGTACGTTCATAAAGTCATCCATCTCATAAATCCCAAGTTGGTAAAGTTTCAGAATGTCACATGATTGGGATTGATTGTACATTTAATACTTGTTTGGTTTTTCCGGCAATTAGAATGGATAGAATTAGTGGGTAAGCCTCGGAAATTTGCATGACACATTAGACATCGTATCGTTCTTAGGTACCGAAAGGGCGTTAGGGATCTCGATTCGGGATCAATAATGTAACCAAGTCCCAGTACTCAGAATCTCTGGTTCGTAGAATCGTGGTATTACTCCCGTACCTCGATTAGGTTTCTAGTCTACCTACCAATAATGACTAGTGGTGACTCCAAAATCACAAACCTAGACTAATAGGAAATTACCTTCCACTGTCACATGAGGTATGGTCTGGAAGAGACCCTTACACGGAAATACCTCCTTAGCGCGCAAATCTCGAAAGTCCCAAAAAAAAAGCGCGGCGCGACACGTGTCAATTATTAGGAAATATACTAATCTCTTGGTTCTCAAAGAAGCAACACACAGTTGCTCTCTCTACGACGGAAGCCGAATATATTGCATTAAGAAGCCGTTGTTTATCAACTAATGTGGATGAAACAGCAACTTTGGGATTTTGGAGAAAAGAATGAAATCATTCCTGTATTGTGTGACAGTACAAGTGTAATTAATCTCTCAAAGAATCCTATACTACACTCTCGTGCCAAGCACATTGAAGTAAGACATCATTTCATCAGAGACTTAGTAAGCAATGGAGAAATCTCCATTCAGTTTGTTGAATCGAAACATCAGCTTGCTGACATCTTCACCAAGTCCCCAGACAAACAAGCTTTCGAATTTATCAAAGGTGAACTATGAATATGCAATCCATTTGAATGAATCAGGTAATGATCACCAATTCATCAACAGAAACAACGGACTCCAGGTACGCAATGAAATTTCAAAATTGTTACCGTTACAGTGATTACACCTAGAATTTCTTACCGTTCTGACATGCTGATTTACTGCCGATATAACCGTTTTTCTCTTATCTGCTATTATCCTGATTTTTCTTGAAAATCTAATGGAATAAATAAGAAAGTTACCGTTATTAAGTAACGGCTAGCCTTCTAAACGTGGCTAAACTGCTCCTATTTATAGGGAGATAGTGCTCACGTTTTTCTCTCATCTTGTAAACTACCTAAATAAATCATTCCTCATCCTCTATAACTCCCTCAGCCAATCTTGCTTTCTTCATTCACTTAAACCGTCTCTCAATGACTCCCAAGTCTTGCAAAGCCATTGGCACACGGAAATCCACTCGCACCAGTACAATGCAATCAAAACTATCCAAGAGAAGATCATTGCACATTGATCTTACTGATCAACCATAAGCCTTGATGGAAGTAACTCAAAGTCAGAGTCTTCTTGGTTCTTAACCTGTTAGAGAACATGGAGAATCTGCCACTGTAAGCACGGCTCTTTCCTCTTCACTGAAGGAATCGTTCCTAGTGTCAAAACTCCAGAATCTCATATACGCTCTGGAAAAGGAAAGGAAATCTTGTCAGACCTTCCACTACTGCAACTGGAAGCCCCTTCATAGCCAACCATTTTGCCAAGCGCCTCTCTTGAACAAATCATACAAGCATTTATCAAAGAAAAAGGGTATGTGCTTGTCCCTACCACAAGCAAGGAACCTGAAACTCAACCCCAGACACCACTTGCTGGCGAATCCTCGCACCCACTGCCAACACTACCATCCACATAATCTTCCATTGAGAAAGAAGAAGAAACTGATCTATCAAAGAAACAAGAAGCAGAAAAAGAGCTATCACCTCCTGCTCAACTTCCTGTTCCTACTGAACAAAGCAATCCAAGGATTGAAACGGAAGAAACCGGAGGAGATAAGAAGCGAGAAGACGACGATGACCGGGTTTTTCAAAATTTTGAACTTGTTACGGCTAGTGTTATCACCTAGAGGGGGGTGAATAGGTGATTTAACAAATTGAATGATTTAAACGTACGGAATGAATATAGTCGAGGTCAACAACTTGTAAAATTAATATCAGATGGATTCGTATAACAAACTTGTATATAAATTGTTGTCAGATGATTGCGTCTGATGACTAAGACGATGTTCTGATGAACTTGTTTGACAGATATGTATGCAGTATAATATCAGCAATAATAAATAAAAGTTTAGGGATAGAGAATACTGCACACAGATCTTTATAGTGGTTCGGCTTTATTGAGCCTACGTCCACTCTCCACGCTGGCAGCCTGTTGGCTATATTTCACTATTGAATCACCAGAAGATTACAAGAGTTGTGCATCTCAAATGATAGATAATACTATCAAGTACACTCTTCACTCAAGTAATTTTCTTTCTAAAAACACAACGTGGAAAACAGTAATCACAAGTATGTAAGATCGAAGCTCTATTCAAACTTTGGAATTCTCGATTCTGGTTCATCTTCCTTGTACGACGTTTGCACTCCTTTTATACTCCTCTACTTCCAATCTATCCGTTGGACAGTCTACAGAGTATTGATCTCCAAATCAACCGGTTGGAGATTCTTCCCAAAATAAGATGCATAGCCGTTAGAAGAAAAACCATTATCTCTGAGTGATTTGATCGCCCATACAATCAAATCAAGATTTCCATAAGTGTAGTTCTTCGTATTTGAGGAACGATCTTGTGATTATCAATCTTAAAATATCAATTTGATTATCCTGCATAAACATGCCAAAAATAACACTCATTGAATCTGACGAGTAATTTTGAGTCTGATGACAAAGTCCTTTCATCGACTAAGTCTGATGACTCAGCAGTTACTTGCATCAAATAACTGAAGTGTAATTCTGGTTAGTATTAGATTGTTTTGTCATTCGTCAAAACTCATCAGAGATTTTGTTCAACAATCTCCCCCTTTTTGATGATGACAAAACTATCTATATGTGATGTAAACAATTATATTCAGATGATGATATGATGATATAACTTTTGAAGCATAATCAAATATTGTTAAGCAGTTCATATTCTGCCACTACACTGCCACTCCCAACAGTTCATTTTCTTATCCTGCATTGACATCCATTTCACATCCATTTTTTATAATACTTCTCCCCCTTTTTGACATCAGCAGAAAGGATAAACATCATAATTAATGTAATAAGAGATTAGTAGTCAAAGTGCACATAAAGTATTTAAACATTACCAAAAGTCAAACAAACATTGCAAAGGTCTCATAAAGTCAAATGCTTAAGTAAGATCAACAGAGAGTTTAAAAATGATAAGTTGGAAATGAATGAGATCAATTTTGCTGATTTTCTGGAGGAGCTGAGGATCCGGCAGGTTCAAATGATGAAGGTCCAAATAGTGCAGAAAGGAAAGGTACTTTGACAAGATGGAAACTAGAGATTTGATTTAATCGTTGCTCAATGTGTGAGTAGAGCTGATGAATCTGGCCTGCAGTGTTGATACCTGCAATTTGTATATCAGTTCTAACTTGAGCCTTTAAATTGTTGAATCTAGCTACCATCAAGTCCTTGATTTCCTGAATTCCCTCTTTGAATTCATTGCGAAGTTCTCGAACTTCATTCTGAATTGCAGCTTGTCTCCATCTTAAATCAGTAATGGCTGCATGGTCTGACATGGAAGAGGAGATGTTGTATCCAGAAGGAGTATGAGTGATCTGAACATCAATAGAAGCTGTTTCCTTCCCTTTGCTTCTTGGTGGAACTTCAGATGGACTGTTTTCACAGTCTGCAGAAGTTGCTGCTGAAGGAACTGCGTCTTTTGCATTCTAATCATGGTCATTGTTCTCAACATCTGGAGCAGTGTTTTCTTCAAACTCCTCCTGCATGTTATCATTTTGAGGATTTTCTTCTTCAAACTCTTCCTGCATATTATCATATTCAACATTTGCTTGTTGAAACTCCTCATGCATTTTTGCTTCATGTTCAAACTCCCCCTGTCTTCTAGAGAGTTCTTTCTCAGCATCTTTCTCAGCAGTGGCCATTTTATTTTGCTGATTTTCCATGACAACCTTGTTGATGATGTCACTAAGTGAATTCATCAAGTGGTCCTCTTCTTCTTGCAGTCTCTGAATTTCAAGCTAAGTGGCAGCATGTCTATCTGCACGAGCTTTGTACTTGGCATCTTGAATAATTAGCCATTGCATAAACCTTGACTCCTCAAGGCTTCTTTCATCAGCTTGAGACTGTTCAGCAGGTTGGTCATCATAAATCTACATTTCATTAGAATCACTGGCCACGGCTTGAGTTCTTTTGGCTGGTCTGTCGGTTCTGGAAACTGTCGACTGCACTTTCCTCTTTCTTACTAAGGGTTCAATTGATTCTTCCTCATCAGAATCATGAAAAATATTGACAGAGTCCTTGTGTTGTGCACTCATCAATTCTGCAGGAATAACCTTGCCCTTCTTATCCTTCCACTTTTCACTATCAAATTTGTATCCCATTTTGGTCATCATGAGTTCTCCAACGGTCATAGTTGGAAGAGGTTTACCTTTGAGTTTTGTTGGAATGGAAATTTTCAAATACTTAAAGATAGCGGTGATCAAAGCTCCATAAGGGAGTTGACCTTTACTCTTCTTAACTGTTCTATACATTTGAAGGAGAACCATATGTGAAAAAAAAAATAGGAAAGGAAGTTTGAATTGCCCAAATCAACTTGGCCTCATAGCGAAAGACATCAGTTTTGGAGGAACCTTTGGGTCTGAGACAATTGATGATGATTTTGTGCAGAACAATTGAATTTAGAGGAAAAAGAGAGTGAGATATATGAGATGTGGAGCCTCTGATGAAAGAAGAGTCTCTAGACAGAGATTGATATGCTAAATCTGAAGTAATAGGAATAAGAGAGAATTTTGTATGTTTTACTCCCAGATTGGCAGCGAGATCAAAGGCTGATAACTTGTAATCTTGTTGAAAGACAGAGAACTCAATTTTAGAAGGAGAAATGAATGACAGATTTGAGTAAAAGTAAGCCGTGAGTTCTGGGTAGACTTTGTGAGGGAGAAAGCACATTCTTTGAAAATCAAGATGTTCAATCAGTCGCTCAATTTTGATATTGAAATTTTCAAAGAAGCTGAAGTCTACAACTCTGTTATTCATTATTCCTCTTGTTAGAAGAGAGTTGTAAGTGACTTGATGAGTTTTGTTTCTAAACAAGCTAGTACTTTTCTTATCACCAGCAGGAATACCAGAAGTAGGCAAAAACTCAGCAAACAGTTTTTCATCATTATCCTCCTTCCTACTATTAATGGTTCTGCTTTTCTCCAAATTCTGCCATTCCTTTTCACCAACGAATTCGTCTCTTTCAACATTCGAAAGTTCTCATACTTTCTCTTTTCCTTTTCGAGAAACTCCTTTCTTGACAGTCACTGGGGTTTCCTGTACATTAGAGGATTCTTTCAGAACTATCCCTTTCTCAGCAACAGGCGTTCTTCCAAGCCTTATACCCTTCTCATATTCTTCCATAACTTCATGCTCAGACAGAAAACCTAAGGTTTTACATACTGCATTTACCGTACTTTGATTACTTTGATTTTCTCGAAGTACTCTAAGGGTTATTACCAGTTGTCTTGCCATAACAAAACGATCACGTTCTTGAACAGGTATACGTGGAGATTTGTTACCTGCAGAAGACTCTTGCTCTGAACCCGAATCAGAGATATCGATTTTCTTTGCTTCTCCTTCTTTGTCTGCTCTGGTGAATATGCCTGCGATTCTGTTCGATCGTTTGGAACCTTTGACTCCTTTCTTTGATTCGGTGGTCGATTTTGGTGCCATTGATGATATTTTTTAGTTTTCGAAGTGAAAGATGAGATCTTGTAGTGTGGTTTTGGAGATCGCTAGGGTTTTAGAGAATGAGTGTTCGGAGAAAGAGTGTAAGAGTGAGAGAGAAGATAAAAAGGTTTTAAACTGAGTAGTACTATTATATATCGATTTTTATAAAACCTTTTTGGAAACTGTCAATTGACAGTTATGGAAATTTCGGAAATCATATTCCGAAAATTTTGGAATTGTTATCCTCAAACGATATCAATCAAGACAACTAATATATGAGATATTCAAACAATTACTATATTTAAAATATATGAGATATACAAACCTTTTATAAGATGAGTTGCGCGCCAAAATCAGACGCTTCAATTATATGCTCAAATAGTCATCAGATGCAATAAGAGTTTGTTCTGAATATCTCAATAGAATGGGTTAATGATATTTAATTTATCTCTAATAAGCTCAAAATTTTTTTTCTCCAAAGGTTTTGTAAAGATATCAGCCAATTGCTGTTTAGTGTCTATAAATTGTCACGCCCTGAACCCTACGAGCACGCGACCATCCCTCCGAGGGTAGCAAAGGACGTGACGTCTCAGGACTCGTCGCCGACCTAAAACCGCAATATGACAAACATGCGCAAGAGGAAGTAAATAAAATACCCCAGACAATGAATAATTAAAATGGGGTAGTAGAAAGACACAATTTCAAAACAACGAATACAATTTTATACGCTTGGCATAAATTACATCGTTCATTTATACAGTTTCAAAATGGGCTACTCACAACTTCCAACCCATTTAACAAAAAGGAACAGTGGTGGAAAATCTTATGTGACATTCTGAAATTCGGCCCACTTGGGATTTATTAAATGAATGGTTTATGGACGTGCTTGTAGTTAGATCTCGCCCGGAATTGATCACTCCTAGGATACTTACCGTTAGGGAAAGGCTAATTAGGGATTTAAATTCGCACGACTAAAGAAACTCGATCGTGAATCGACTTTCGATCATAAAAATTGTCGAGGTGACATTTTGAGCCAATGTAGGCCGATCCAAGGATAGTTAGGGATCAATTCGCCGCTGTCATGTTAGTGGATCGCGGGTGATTCTGCTTGACCACGAGATGAACAGACGAATGACTCTAAATCTATACCAAACGATCGCGCCCGTCGGAACTAGCGATCGACCCTTGCGATTAAGTGACAACCGAAGTCGTCACGACCCGAGTGAACTTGAACATGGCTTGATTCAGTATCGGCCACGGGTCAAATGTGCAAATTTCCCCAAAAGCCACCCGTTAGTCTGAGATATGCTCAAGTTACGTTATTTAAAATTTAGTCATTAATTAGAGACCAAGTTGGGCATTGAAAATTTAGAAAGTCACGACAGAACATTTGGACGACATTGTTATTAGCATGATCAGCCTTAGAATTGTCCGAATCCTTCAGAAAAAATCGAATTTCGGCGAGAAATGGAAAATGACCATTTTACCACTGAGACTTTGTTAAGGCCAAGTATAAAGTGAGAGGGGCATTTTGGTCATTTCACATTAGCTTTAGAAATAGAAAATTTTGGATAATTTTGCCCTTGGGAATTTTGTGAAATTCCAATTTTGTCCTTGGATATTTTTGGCAAGGATTAATCCGGACCGTCGATCTTAGGATAAGATCGAATCTTGGCCGTTGATTGGAATTGTGAGAGAGGGGTATGATGGTCAATTAGCATGTGTATTAGACACAAATAATTGACCTTAGACTATTTAAATCAAATTTCTCTCTCTCTCCTCACTCTCTCACCTCTCTCGGCTTCTCTCTCCCTCACTCCCCCTCACGACCGAATCACCCCCTCCCCATCGTGACCGTGGCCATCCGGCCCAGCCAGCAGCCACTGCCGTCCTCCCGGCTAGCTAGATCAGCCGCGCTCGGAGCCGCTCGCCGCCGCCGTGGCCGCTCGCCTCACCACCACCGCTCACCTTACCGTCTCTCTCTCCCCTGTTCTGTCCCCACCGAATCACCATCATCCTTATTCTGTCCTGTTTAGCCGCCGTCCAGCCAGCCGCTCGCCATCGCCGTATGCCGCCGTTCAGCCGCTCGCCGTCGCCGTCCGCCGCCGAGTGGCCGCCGGTCAGCCGCCCCTCCCCTTCAGCCGAGCTAGCCTAGATTCTAAGTAAGTCGCCCCCTAAGCCCTATTTAGGATATCGAGTATCGATGGACATGATTAGGGGCTGAATCGGATTAATTAGGGGCTGTTTTGGGATTAATTAGTGGCTGTAAGGGCTGTTTTGTGTGGACTGATTAAGGGCTGATGTTGGTTGATTTCGGTGGTGAAATGGTGATGGTTTGGGACTGAATTGATGCTGAATTGGGTGCTGGAAATTGTGGCTCGTATTGATGAGCATATGGCTTGATTTAGGGACTAAATTGTGTTGGGTTGGCGTGTTGTGATGTGGCTGGTTTGTGATGTTTGTTATGGCTTGAAATAAGCATGGAAATGCTGAATTTATGCCCATGGTTGTGGCTGTGATTGGGGGCCCGAAGGTGGCCTTGTATGTTTGTTGAATGGTGAATTGATTGATTGAAATGTGGTCCATTATGTACGCGCATGGGCTGAATTGAATTGACTGACAATTGGCCGTGATTGGGTGTTTATTAAGCATGTGAAATGCGTGTGGTTTGGTGCGTGCATGGGCCGAACTTGATCGGCTAGTATATTGGCATGTTGGCGTGTAGATCGAGCGAGCGAAAAGAATGAGAAATTGTGTGTGATGTTGTATGTTTGGTCACGAAAGTCCCTGAGGCGGTACTGTTACGCAGGGAATTGTGCCGTCCTAAGGCGGTACCATAACGCGGGACGATACCCGGTATTACCGGAAGACGGCCAACCTGAGGCGGTACCATAACGCGGGTTGTGCCGTAGGTGGTGGATGTTGAGCCTGAGGCGGTACCATTACGCGGGCTAAGGAGTGTTGTGAATATGAGTTGGTCGCAGTGAACCTGAGGCGGTACTACTACGCAGGTCACTGGCGAGCTGAGTGAAAATAGTGTGATGAGGCATGAATGAGTGTATGAAATGTGGAAATGAAATGCCACGTGTTCGACTTGTGTATTGGGCGTGAAGTTAATTTGAAATGTGCATGTGATTGGAAATTATATATATTTGAGACTAACCTGCAGATTGTGCGTATCAAAAGCCAGGTAAGTGCAATTGTGTGCATGATGTGTTTATTGGGTGATATTATGTTTGGTCTTGTCTGGAGGTACGTGATAGCCTAGGTGGGGTTTAGGGTGTGTACTTATTGAGACGTGTTCTCATGGTTGTTTCAACCAACAATTTCAGAACCCCAGCCTGAGCCATGAACCTTTCACCATCACCGCTGCAGCGTTTTGGGATTCCGATGCACACCGACCATAATGTTGTAGAATACCCGACAGACGAAAATATGACCTGTGTTAAGCATACTACTGTAGTCTGGGTAGACGTAGGGCTACCTCTTTGGCAGGCCCACACCTACACCGCTTGGATGTTCAGGGACGGGTTGGATGAGTTTGGCCCTGTCCGTGACTTTGACGTTCCGTTTGACGGAGTAGGAGATTGGGATCCGTTAGCAATACCCCCTCTTGACGGCGAGATGACTAGTCTGGATACTATTCTCGCCCAGTTCGGGCAACAGTCAGCACCTGCAGCACCTGAACCTCCCGTGGCTGAGCCTGATTCGGAGCCAGAGAAGTCACAGGTAGGGTATGATCCTATGAATGTGGATCTCGAGGTAATACCAGAGGAGGAACCGGAAGAAGAAGACCCTGAGGAAGAACCTGAAGAGACGCCGGAAGAACCTGAAGATGAGCCCGAAGAAGACCCAGAGATGGAACCAGAGGACGAGCCAGAGAATGAGCCAGAGGACGAGCCGGAAGAGGAGCCTAATGAAGAGGAGCGGGTTGAGGTTCCGGTGGAGTCGGGTGACGAGGACAATCCGATCGAGATCGAGGCAGATTCCAAGTCCTCAGATGATCAGGCAGCTCTGGGAGATTCGGACTCGGGTCCTGAGGAGTCAGACTCGGAGTGGACACCATCCAGGGGGCGTAGGGGCTAGTGTAGGGGTTGAGTACAGGCCTTTTGAGGTGTTCCATTTTTGACAGTTAGGGTACCCAGGCTACTGATCTTTTTGATATCGGTGGTGCATAGTTTAGAGGTTTGGTGTGCATGTATATGATATGGTTGTATATGGTGAATATAGTATAAGTTTGGATAAGTAATGGATGTTTATTCTCCCTTGTAACTCTAGCCAATTATTGTATGGATGTTTGTGGCTTTCGCTGATTGCTTTAAATCTTTGATAAGTTGATTTGAGTCGGCGATATCCTGGGACGTCGCGATATTCGACCAAAGAGGTGTGTCGCGTGCTCGATGGGGTTCGGGGCGTGACATCTTAACTCCTCTACTCAAGAAGAATGGGGCACACACAAAAGTCGGGGCGACCCGGCCTATCCTCGGTCCCCGTGGTGCCCTGGCGCCACCTCCGAAACGGTCATGGTCACGGATCTGAAATAGTTAATTCAACAATGAGAATAAAATTCTCAATAAGCAACAACCTAAACCCTACATAGGTCAATGCGTACCCCATACAAGTTTAAGCACACGATCTAATCACGCGTAATAAACTCAAATGCACGTACTCGGCTCATTTCGAATCATGGACCATCTTTGCACATAAACCCATTTGCTATAATATGATCACATCACACAAACATACTCAAATCATACAATCGCCATACACGTGCACATTCGTACTATCCAACCATGACCCGCGTAAACACACCTCAGGTCCTTTCGCACAACTCGCGTCAACACGCCTCAGGTTGATAGCCCTCCGATCATTCCGGGCTTGTCCCGCATAACACGCCTCATGACATTTTCCAACCCCGCGTAAACACGCGTCAGGGTATACTTACATTTTCATGCCATCCAACTACGACCCACGTGAACACGCCTTAGGTCTTTTCTCACAAC